CTCCGATAGTCTCGCGCCGTCGAGTTCGAGACCGATAGCAGCAGCAGCGTGGGGGCCGGCGCCAGCGCAGCGGGGGGGTGGTGGGGCTCGGCTCGGCACGGCACGACGCCGACGCGCCGGCACGATTCGCGCGCGCGATTGTTTGAGTATCATTTTCGGTTGTTTGCCCTGCTTTGCCCCGCCGCGGGGCCGGCGGCAGCGCCTGCTTGGTCATTGCGACAGCGCGGGGAGGGCAGCGAGGAGGTGCCCTTGAGAGGGGGGAGGGGGGGGCTAACGAGCCTGCAGCGGGGGGAGGGTTGCGGCCGCGGGGAAAGGGGAAGCGGCGGAGAGAGAGGGGGGCTAGATCCTGCCGAGCTGCGTGCCGACGCCGCCGACTCCGGACGGGACGAGACGAGACGAGACGCCGTCGAGAAGCGCGTCGAGTGAGTGGCGGCGCCGCGCTCGCTCGCCGCTGGCTTTTCAACACGGCGCGGGGGGCGGGGCGCGGCGGGTCCAACGAACGTCCTTGCACGCCCTTGAGGGGGGCGGTGGGGGGAGCAGGGGCTTCCCGCCGCGCCCCGCTGTGTTGTTGCTTTGACGCGGCGTAACGTGCGCGCGGCGATGCTGCTGCTATAGCGCCGCCACCCCCCTGCGGCGATGGTGATGTGTCACTCTCGTGAGTCCATCGAATATATACCTGACTGAGACGACGACGACGAGAGTGGTCTATTTTTTTTTTCCTCCCCCCCCCCTCTTTTTCTTTTGTGCCGCACCCACTGGAATGACATGCTGCTGCGCGTATGGATATAGCTCCTGCAACACCACACACAGTGCTGCATAGCAGCGCCCCCTTTGGGCTCAGTATGTTAGGCACAGTAGTCCTCGGCCGCCACCGCCACCGTGCTGCAGCAGCTGCTGCTTGCTCAAGTCCGGCTCCGGCTCGGCAGCCGCGCCGTCGCCGCTGCTCCGCTCCAAATTGCAGGGGCCTAAGCCAATCCCAAATGGCGCCCAGCGCGCGTGTCTGCTGTGCAGCATGAGAGTGCAAACCGACACAGGCCGGGCGAGCGGGGGCGGCGGTGGGGGCGGCTCAGTGGACAAGGGCCTCAGATGGCGATGCGGGGGTGGCGGAGGAGAGGGAGGTGGGGGGCATTACCAATGGAGCGCCCAGCAGAGGCCAATCCAGGAGGGCGGAGCGGAGCGGCCAGGAGCGTTGGGAAAGCCTTGTTATACTTTATGACGTTTTCATGCTGGCTAGTTTACTTTTGTGATTTCGCCCACCCCCTCTCCTCCTCCGCCGCCGTGGCGGTCGGTTCGGTTTGCCACGCGGGTTCTTTTTGACCCTGGCTGTTCAGAAGTAGAGTGGGCTCTTTTGCTCCCCTACTGACTCGTCAAGAGTCCGCTGCCCTTCCTCCTCCAATGCAGCCAGTTCGCAATCAATGGAGCATTCCTTCTTCGAAATTTGGGTAGCGAGATCGGAGGAATTTCCTCGTGGGGTTGCGAGAAAAGGGTGTGATGCCAATGCCCACTTATATCCAAGGGATCGTCCAGAAAGTACGTCCGCTTTACTCAGATTCGTTTTGCGCAGTACAGCAGGAGCTCGGCGCCTGCGAAACTCGGGGTAGGCCACCCAGCAGTGCACGCGTGCACTACAGGCAAGATTTTGCCTACCGATCAGGCGCTCTGAGAGCTTCCAATGTCTGACTGAACTATGGGCAGTTTCGTGTAACGGCAAATGGCGAACGACGTACTTTCTGGATGATCCCGCTCCCCTACACGTCCTGGCGCTTCACGACGTGCAGGCGGCGGTGCGTATGTCGCAGTGTCCCGCTGGTGCATGACCAGGACGGCGGCATGCTCCTCGTGCCGGTCGCTGGTCGCTCATTCGCGGGGCCATAAGTGAAGTGTCAGGCGGCACCGGTCGGGCCGAACTCGCACCCGACCTCGGCGGCGGCGCCCCCATCCCCATCTCTCGCTCGCGCTCTTGCGTGTGTGTCGGAGACAGAGAGAAACCCGCGCGCGCGGATGCGATGCCGCCAAACGGGCCGGCTGAACTGGTGAGCGGCGTGGCGGCGGGGCAGAGTCCTGTATGCACGGCAGGTCCCGCTCCCGTTGATGCCCAATCACATTACCGGGAATGATTCAGCCAGCGGGCGCGCGCGCCGGACGAAAAGGAAAAGCAGCAGCGGCAGCGGACTGACTGTGGCCGCGCTCCGGCCAGTACGCCACCGCGTCCCTTCGCCCACGCCCCGCCCCACCCCGCCCCGCCCCGCCACGCCTCGCAGCACCTGCCGCCCAGTGCTTAATTGGAACGGATAACGCGCGCCGTCCGTGCATGGGCAATGGGCATAGGATGTGAAAGGAAGGTCACGATGAAGGAATCGGGATTTGGTGCTGCCGGCGGGGCGGGGCGGGGCGAGGCGGGGTGAGGCGAGGCGGGGCGGGGCGGGGCGTATGAGCCACGGCTGGCTGGGAATGGAAATGAAATGCCACGGTAAATTCCTTTTTCGAGGCGAAGCGCAGTTGTTTCCTAACGCGCCTTGACTCCCCGAACGATTCGATACCGGTAGGACTCGTGATTAGTGCGATTATTCAATTTTATGATCTCGGAAAAACTTCGCGGCCTCAAGCGCCGCCGCGGAGTCCGCCATTACGGTGATGGAGATAATAATGTCTTCATCTGCGAAAAAGTAGACCCGTTTTTGTTTTACTGGGCTGTAAAGCGCCGTAAAAGCTATACACACTCCGTTTCGAACTGATGACCGCGGACCTGAATGGGAGAGAGGCATGTGACTAACTAGTACTCTTACTAGGTGTGAAAAAAACATGAACCAAAAACAAGGCAAATCTACTGCTGACACCGAGACGGTAAGCCCGAAATCAGGGGCAACTATCGTTTGTCTCTAAGGAGAGAGGAGAGAATGTCAAAACAATCCTAACTTGTTGAACTCCTACTGGGAGCGAAATAGACCAGAGGCCGACTAAAGGCGTCCTGCTGGTGATGCTGAGAGGCAAGCCCGAAATCAGAGTAGAAGCAGCAGCCACCGTTTGTCTTCGCTTCTGAGAGGGAGCAGGGAACGCCAAAACAAGCCCGACTTTGTTTCCCTAGCGAGCGGCCAGTCGTTTCGTTTCATAACGACGGGGCCCTGCCCGCACAGCAGCAGCAGCGCGGGGATAGTCTTTTGAACGCATGGTGTAGCACGCCCCGAAGGTGTGGCGGCGCGGGTGAGTGTGAAGGGTTCCCCTCGGGGTTCCCTTCCCTCGCCCGACTTCATTTCAATGCTCCGCCCCCTCCATCGCAAATTACTTTACTCGAACGACCTTCCCGACACCACGACCACGGCCAGCCAGCCTATCTCCGCCATTGCAAATATATGCCTCGACCCCGCTGACCGTACAGCCACAGTGATCACTGATCATATCTTTCTCCCTCACCCTCCCCCTCTCACTCTCTTATTCCACTATTGGCTTTGAGGGCTCAATTGAGTCCTTTGCAGGCAACATAATCTCGACGAGCATCTCTTTGTCGATGTCGGACGCCAGCTCGCCCGGGCGCCCCTCAGCGCGGCCGCCCCGCCGGCCCGCCGCATAGCGGCAGGCGGTGCATGACCGATGCGTGCAGCGGAGCCGATCGAGACATCGATAACGGCCGAAAAGGGTCTCATCATCGGCTCCGATAGTCTCGCGCCGTCGAGTTCGAGACCGATAGCAGCAGCAGCGTGGGGGCCGGCGCCAGCGCAGCGGGGGGGTGGTGGGG